GGTGGTGGTGGTGGTGGTGGTGGTGGTACTGGTGGTGGTGGTACTGGTGGTGGTGGTGTTTGCCATTGAGTCAGCACTGACTCACAGCCGACAGTAAATTGTGCAGGAAGAGAGTGTCCATCTTTCTCCCACGGAGCAGCTGTGTGCCTTTGAGATCACAGTGCAGCTTCTTATCTCTAGTATGTAGTGGTAATGAATGGTCTACTTGTTTGACTCTATGACCAGGATCCCAAAACTCCTTCCACACAATTCCCCCCACCCCACTTTGAACTGCAAGTGCATCAGGGAAGCAGAATCTGAACCACGCCTTCTCTGTGGGCATCTGCTCTGGACAGCATGTCCCAAGCACTGTTGGAAACAACACAGGCCAGCTGCCCCGTCTCCCAGGTGTGGATGGCCCTTTTCCTCCAGTTGCCCGTCTCCCAGGTGTGGACAGTCCTCTTCTTCCAGCTGCCCCGTCTCCCAGGTGTGGATGGCCCTTTTCCTCCAGTTGCCCGTCTCCCAGGTGTGGACAGTCCTCTTCTTCCAGCTGCCCCGTCTCCCAGGTGTGAACAGTCCCTTTCCTTCGGCCGCCCATCTCCCAGGTGGATGGCCATTTTCCCACTTGCATCAACCTATCCCTGAAATAAAACCAGTTCAGGAAGGCACAGGCTACAGTCCATTTGCTCACCCAGGATAATGTACATGACTGACAGGAAGCAAAGGTACTTGAAATGTCTTTGCTACCTGCTGTGTGGGAGAAAGATGGCCAGTCTCCTCCCTTGTGATTTATGGCCTCTGAAGACCCATTGAAGGGTGAGCTATGGGTCACTTCCAACTCGACAGTAAGTAACAACAGCCCTTCATAAGATGCTGTCCTATTTTTAAAGCAACACATGAGATCCCAAGGCCACATCTCTCTGGAAATTTGGCTGTAATGGCCCAGGTGGGAAGGATCATCGCAGGAGGCCCCCGTGAGGCCGAGGCCAGCTGTCCAGTGACTAACTTGCAGTTAGGCCAGGCAGCCCACATCCTGTCCCTGAAATACTGACCTCAGGGATGGGCGATCGGCCCCTGCCTATGCTAAGTGTTACTCATCTTGAAAAAAAATTCTCTTAGCTGCCAATGCCAAGAAACGTCCCTTCCGCACAGAGCTGGTGGAGAACTCAGGCATTAAATGAGTCATGCACTCTCCTCCACCAACATCCAACCCGGTCACCGTCTGACCTGAGCCTGGCCCCACTTCCAGTGGGGATCAATCCCGAGTTCTCGTCACCAGACATTACAGTGGACCACGTGTTGCTTGCCTGTCCCATCAGAGGGCTTCCCATATGATTTCTTACTTCACCTAAAATTACACCAGCTTTAAGATGCAAGTAGCCACAGCCCCGCACTACAGATACCGTCAAGGTCACGGAGACTCTGAAGGGAGAGGGGCGCCTTGCACGCCCTCTGGCAGGAAGACTGACTGCCTCTTGGATGAGCACCTGCGGTGGGTGAGGCAAGCCTGGAGGCGCTCAGAGGGTAAGGCTCCCTGAATCCACCCACCCCATCCTCCTAACAAGAGGGCTCTTGTGGTTTGGTTTGGTTTTGTTTCATTTGTCCTCCTCCTTAGCAGGCTTGCTGCCTCCACCCAGAAGGAGGAGAGAGACTGAGGTGGGCATGTTCCCAATCAGTGCAGGCCTGGAGTCAGGGCTGGGGGTGGGAGGGGGCAGAGGTTACAGATCTGAGGTGATTCCTGTCTTCCAGTGAACAGAGAGAGAAGGGAGGGAGGAGGAGGAAGGGGAAGCAGAAGAGAGCAAGACGCAGAGGGAGAGAAAAGGGCTACAGGGGAGGGGCTGGAGAGAGTGGAGGGGAAGGGGGTGGAAAACAGGGTCAAGAGTGAGAGGAGAGGTAGCAGAAGCAGGTGAGAGGATGGAGGGGAGAGAGGTGAGGCAGAGGGCAGGAGCGAGAAGAGGAAAAGGGGGAGAGAAGAAAACATAGCATATTTTTTCACAGTACATGAATTACGCAATTTTTGTAAACTTCTGTGTGCACTGTGCATATTATTGACGTGTGTATGTCGCTCACATGGGCTCAGTCCACACAAATATATGGTAGATGCTTGATAACATCACGCAGATGAGGCATGTGCAAAAGTCTGACAGGAAAACACCAAATCAGCAGAGACTGGAGACCACAATGCGGGAACGTCTCATCTTGGGAAGCCAAGAGGCCCCTCCCAGAGAGGTGGGAGGATGGACCAGGTGGCCACTTAAGGAGTCCATCAAGGTCCAGGCCCTGTCCCTTGGGAAAGGACTGAAGTCAGAACCTGGAACTGAGGGGGGTCATGCCACCTCTCAGAGTCTATAGACTTCCCTGAAAGCCAGGGACCACACCCCACATACTGCCTGCTGTACTGGGTGGCTGTGGAAGGGACAGAGACAGGTAGGGAGGATCCAGGCAAGGGAAGGGGAAAGGTTACTAATCAGGCCAAGGGGAGGAGGGAGATGGAGGAACTAGGCCTGGCGGGCAGGTTGTCTCTGAAAGAGACTCCCCAGTTAACCAGTTTGGCAGTCACCCCTGGAAAAAGAGGGGAGAATTACAAAAGAAAAACATTATTATAATTCAGTGAGTCTTTGGGGGTTTGGAACAATGAAAAAAACAGTAGATATTTAAGCATGTCTCCAAAGGGAATGTTGTGTTTTATTCCTTTCCATCTCTTACTGTCATTAAAATGCCTGGTTGCTAATCTCAAGGTCAGTCTGCTTCTGGACAGTTAGAGCCTTGAAAAGCCTGCGAGGTAGGTCTACTCTGTCCTGCAGGTTGTTGTCAGTCAGAATCAACCCCGTGGCAGTGAGTGTTGACCGTAATAGAGCCTCCTACTTGAGAAAAGTGGCCCTGCTTCATGTAACAGATCTCTCCAAACACATATGAGGAAAGAACAGAAAAGCAATAGAGATGTGAGAGTCACAGATCCACCTGAAGACGGAAGTACGAGAGGGTCCCCCCTGCTTTCCCCATTGGGTCCATGAGAAAACAGCTGCAGGTGCCCACTGACGAATGACCCCTGTCATGTGGCATGGTCAAGGCCACCCGCCGGTTTCTCTCCTTGGTCCTCATTTCCTTGTCTACTGCTAACTCTCACCTTCATTTACCCAAAAGTAAGCTCTTCAGAGTGCTGCATGAACCCAGCCTGAGAGCACCCCAGCTAGCAGAGACCACAGAAGCCCTGGGTCCAGTGCTATCACTGGGGTCTTTAGAGCACGAGAGGAGAGTAAAGGGGCAAAGAGAGAGATGGAAAGGCCTCATAGCCAAGTCGTCCTTTAAGGTTATATTAATGGGGTTTTAAGAAATTCCAGAGTGAAGGCTGCACAGTGGAGTGGACTTGAAGGGAGGGATTGCATAACAAAGAATGAGTTTTTCTTTTCAAGGAGAAGAGTGAATTGGGAGGAGGGGGTGGGCAGGGAGAAAAGTGCAACAATGAATGAATAGAAACCCTAAAGTCTCTGTAAACTTTCATTTAAAATAATTTTAAAAAAAAAGAAATTATAAACTAATCCGTAAGCAACCCAGAGCATGTGATCCATCGACAGGGGCAAAGTTCTCATTATTACATCTTTTGTTGGGTGGTCAACATTTCAGGGTGGAAGTTCAAGGAGTCCAGTAGCCCTACTTCCTCCACCTCAATGGATAGGCTTCAAAGAGGAAATCAAGCGTTGGTGGTATAGTGGTGAGCATAGCTGCCTTCCAAAGAGGAAATCAAGTTGCCCAGCCCTCACTTACCAGCCTCACAGACATTTTCAACAGGAGGCCTTCGTTGGCCCCCTTGGGAAGCCCCACGGGAATGATTCCTACCTCGGGACTCCCATCTCTCCGTACGCTCCCAGGTAATGGGAGGGAAAGCAGGCCTGGGGGTTCTTCGGAGATGCCTGTCATTTAGTGACAAGTGAAGGAACAGACCACCAGGAGAACAGCCCACCTCCCCTCCCTTCCCCCTCTCTTCACAACAGAGAAAATGGTACTGAAATCTCAGCTCCAGGGACATGCATCACCACTCAGACGATCTCAGTCAGAGGCAGATGAGATCCTACGAGACAGCATCTCTGTGCCAAAGCCACCAAGCCATCCCAAACCTTGGGGTGCTCCCTGCAGCCTCCTGTGGGCTATGTTAATTGGAACCAGGGGTCTTTACCCACAAACCCCTTAATGGAACTGGAGAATGGGCTACACGTGACACTGGCCCACCAGGCATGTGAAATCCACTACGATGAGCTACACCCCAAGGCTTGAAGCTTTTGAAAATGAAAATGAACTCCTTCGTTCATTTTCCAAAGGCGGGGACTGGCGTCCCTCTGCCTTTCAAAGCGCTCTTTGACTCTTCTAGAGGGAGGGAATCGGGCCCCTAAGGGCTCCCGTGCACAGCCTAGGAGGGGCTCCGGGGGACCAGATACCTACTGTTGGTCTTCATGCACATCTATCCTGCAGCACAAGGTCAAAACAAGGGACAACAACTGAGATTGGAACAGAATCATTGCATTTCTCCCACCAGCAACACAAGGAAAAGGAACACTGGATGCGTTAGAGGGCCACCCCTCCCACCCAGGTGCTTGAGCTTTTCTTAAAACCAAAAGCAACTCAAGCAGATAACGTTCAGGAAAAGTGTCTGGGACTTGGCAGACCCAATTCTCTGCCATGATCAGGAGACGGCCAGAATCTCCAACCCATGAGACACAGCCCACCAAGACGAGACCACAGCCATGCAAAGGTTTTGTAATCTCAGCTCCAGCTCTGCCTGGTTGTGGTCCTCTATACCTGTCACTCAGTCACCGAGACACCACCCCCCTTTCCCCCCACCTCCAACTCTGCAGGTGGACAAGGGGCCAATGCGGGCCCATGTTCATTCTTTATATAAAGAAAAATTCCAGTCCTAGTTCATCGCTTAAATGCTTTGACTATTATAGGACTAAACTAGAGACAGTGTAATGCAGCTTACTACTTTCCTTCTTCTGGAAGTGGGTTAGAAAATGAGGAATGCTTACCCATTTTTGAAATAGAGGACATGAGCTCTCTGAAGTCCTGTTTCTAGGAAAAAGCCTAGTTCTTGATCGTGGGGAGCAGGGCCAGGTTTAGGGCTTCTGTTCTGAATATTACTGAGTATTACCTAGAAGGGGAGAAAATTGGAAAACTAATCATGCACACATCCATATCCATCCTCTAGAGAACCTATCTGAAAACATACTACAGTGTTGCAAAACTCAGCACCTCGGCACAGATGCAAATATCAGATGAGCAGAGAACCTTGTAACAGGCCCCAGGTAGATGGGCAACCGTCAAGAGAACCTAGAGCACACATGCCTCCTGGCACCAGAACCAGAGAAGGAAGGGTGCTGATGGGTGATTGGTGCCAGGAGAAGCATTAGAGGCAAAGGGACTGTGCTGACTGCCAGCACGTTGACAGAGGCCGAGTGCACAGAAGGCAGGTCACAGCAGAGGACAGACACAGTCATCGCCCATGAATGGCTGAGGTCACTGACAGACAGACGGCAGTTTTCCAGGGGTTTGGCAACTTCCACCAGGAGCTGAGAACTTCCTTGAACTGCACTGGTCCTGGAGTCACTAGGCTACCAAGGTGGGCCTGTGGACAGAGTATCTATTCTCCAGAGGAGGGCCGAGAAACACCACCTGTGGGCCTTCTCTAGGAGATCTGGCGAGGCAATGGTTAAAGTACTGATCTAGCTACCGAAAAGTTGGTGGTTCGAAGCCACCCTCGCCTCCACAGGAGAAAGAGGTGGCACTCTGCGTCCACAGAGTCACTATGAATCAGAGCAAGCCCAACAGCTCCCCCAACATATTCACTTGTTTAATAGGTAATAGGGTTTTAATTGTTTTAAAGTTTGAAATTTAAACTTTTAGCTTTAAAAAAAAAGACTGCCAAGTTGAGTATGTTATGTTGATGTTATGTTGTTATGTGATGTTGTGTTATAATGTTATGTTGATGTGATGTTGCTATGTTATGTTATACTGTTGTTATGTTATTTTATGTTATGTTGTTGCTATATTGTGTTATGTTATGGTATATTGTTGTAATGTTATATTGTTGTTTCGATGTGATGTGATGTGATAGTGAAGTATGAATACATATCTGTGCTACTATCGCAGCTACTTTCCTAAACACATAAGACAAATCAAACATGCATTAATTAAATCAAGACAATCAAAAACTGCCTGTGTCCTGTTAAAAAGTCATGAACATCTCACTCAACATGCTCTCCATGTCTGCTGAAAGTTAGAAGTTCAAAAAATATCAAATTGTTACCCAAATTTCAAATGCTATGAAAATCTGGAAACTCATTTTCAAGTGGAGTTGAGGTAATAAACTGGTAGCTCTGTAATGCATGGGTTTTGAGAAACTGAAAAGGAGAGGACACACCATGGCAAAGAGGTTGAGAACTGAAGTCCGGGTGTGCAGTCCGGGTCTGAATGACACCGAATCATCTTAGCAAAGGCCTGGCTCCATCATGGTTTAGCACTCACCCTGCATCATTCCCAACTCCAGATGCTCTTCCAACCTCTGGGACACCACTCCTCCTGCCCCTGCACGTCCAACCGCCGATGGATGGCCACCTAGTGTCTGGGCACTTTTCTCGTCTCTCCCTAGACAAGCTCATCTACTCCTATGTTGTTGATATTGTGTTCTGTGGAGACAGAACTGACCCATAGCTGACCCACGAGAGGGTTTTCAGAGGCAGCAAACTGCACGGGAGGAGACTGCCCATCCTTCTAGGGAGCAGCTTGTGGATTTCAATTGCTTGCCTTTGAAACTGCAGTGCAGCTTCTTACCATTGTTGTTGTGTACTGTTGAGTCATTTGTGACTCATAGTGACCCTATGTACAATAGCTCTGAACCTTGCCCTATCCTGTGCCAATCAATCTCACTGTCTCTGGCATTCCAATCCCCAGTACCCCAGTTACTGTGTCAATCTGTCTCATCCTGTGCTGTCTCTTACTCTTCCAAAGAATGATATCCTTCTCCAAGGACCAGTCCCTCCTGGCTACATGCCCAAAGTATATCAGAAGGAGCTCTACGGACTTTAAAAATCACCCATATGCTGGCCACTCCCAGGTTTTTTATCTCCACTAATTTATCAGGCTTTTCTTCTAAGGTACCTCTCCAGGGGCCAGAACCATCAATTCTTTTCTTTTTATTGTTGTTGTTGATTGCCTTCAAGTCAAGCACGACACAAAAGGCCTGAAGCCTTTCTATAACTATTGACTCTATAAAGTTCATAGGTTTTCAGAGGCACTTGCACTCAGGTTGTTGGTAAGTAAGTCACCAGGTCTTCTCATGTGTCCATTGATCATCTGAGATCCCATTTCCAAGAAAGTAATCCAACAGAATGAGGAAATTATCAAACAATGTGTTAATATCACATGCAAGCAAAATATTGCGGACGATCATTCAAAACCAGCTAGAACCGTACAAAGTGCAGCCAGAAGTGCAAGCTGGGGTTAGAAGAGGCTGTGGCACTCGTAATATCATCTAACAACAACAATCTATTTGGATGTTAAAAACACATGATAAAGAACTAATTATTGTTATTGCTGTTGTTGTTGTTGTGGACTGCCAAGTCAGAATTGACCCAAAGCTGAACCTGTCAGGTTTTCTGAGGCAGTTAATTGTATGGGAGGAGATTGCTAATCCTTCTCCCATAGTAGCTGGTGGAATTTGAACCGCGTGCTTTTAGGATTGCAACACAGCTTCTTGCCACTAGGCCAATTAGTCAAACAAAAGAAAAATTTATGAAAGTAAAAGAGAAAAAGAAACACACACACCAGTGTTATATCTAAAATTTTAATTAATAGCTACAATTATACAGGACACATATATGTATATAAAAAAGGGAAAGAAAATCATTTTAAGTGGCACTGAAATTTGAGAAAAAATCATTAAATTCATATCTAATATCACATTCAAAAACCAGGCTACTCCTTGGAGGCAAGGATTCTGGGGCTTCGTCTGACATACTTTGAACATGTTGTAAGGAGAGACAGGTCTTTAGAGAGGGACATCATGCTGGGTAGAGTAGAGGGACAGCGCAGGAGGGGAAGACCCTCTATGAGGTGGATTGATTCAGTGACTGGGGTAATCGGGATGGGTGTGTCAGAGGTAGTGCGGTTGGCACAGGATAGAGCAGGGTTTAAGGCTGTTGTACATAGGATCGCCATGAGTCGCAAACAACTCGACGACACATAACAACAAACAACAACAATATCACATACCAAAATAAATTCCAATTATATAAGAAAATTAAAAAGCAGCCATGTACATTAAATGGTAAATGGCTGAAAACTTTTCAAATCCCTAAAGAAAATTTATCTCAATATTTAAGTTTTAAAATAATACATTAAACTTTTAAAGTCAATCACTTTATGAATGGATCAGCGGGGCAAAAGGAAAGGGAAGATACAGCAAAGTTTCTATTTTGCTGTTGTTATTAGGTGCCTTCGAGTCGAGCATGACTCACAGCAACCCTACAAACAGATCTGGACCCTGTCCTATCCTGCGCCATCCTCACACTTCCTGAAACACAAGAGCCTACTATAGCAGTCACACTGTCAATCCACCTGGTTGAGGGTCTTCCTCTCCTTCACTGACCCTCCACCCTTCCAAGCATTATGTCCCTCTCCAAGGAATAGCCCCTCCTCAAAACATGCTCAAAGAATGTGAGGAAAAGCCTCATTATTCTCGTGTCCAAAAAGCACTCCAGTTAGTGGTACGCTCTCCAAGACATACCTATACGTTCTTTTGGTCATCTATGCTCTTCTCCAACACCACAGCTCAAAGGCATCAATTCTTCTTCTGTCAACCCTATTCATTGTCTGCTCTCAAATGCATAGCAAATGATCAGAAGACTATAGCTGGATACAGACATGACTCAGTCCTTAAACTGACATCACTACTCCTCAATAATTTGGAGAGGGTCTCTAACTGCAGATTTTTCAAGAGCAATGTGTTTCCTTATTTCCTGAATGCTGACTCTTACCAAGAGTGTTAATTGTGGATCTAGGTAGGATGAAGCTGTTGACAGTTTCAATCTCTTCTCCATCCATCATGATGTTGCCTCAGTCCAGTAGGAAAAATGTTTTCTTGACACTGAGATGCAGTCAATACCAAAGACTGCATTCCTTGATCTTCTGCAACAAACGTTTCAAGTCCTCCTCACTTTCTGCAAACAAGGTTGTGTCATTTGCTTAAAGCAGGTTATTTATGAGTCTCTTCTGATCCTGAAGCCACATTCTTCTTCA